ACAGACTTCCCACTGAGGTGCCTTGATACAGCACTCTGGGAACAGCCAATTCGTTCAGCAATTTCTTTCTGTGTCTTACCCTCTTGCTTGAGGGTGTCAATGATGGCCTTCTGGACAACAGTCAGGTCGGCAGTCTTACCCATGATTGCGGTTTTGAGTAATGAACAAGGCTGGGAGTTTTTAAAAGCCTCAGGAATCTTTTGCAAGTGTTTAGAGTTACGTCGTTGATTCAGATGGTTAGGTTAATAGCTTGTTTAGAGAACCTTTTCATGATATGCTAATTTTTTGGGACAGGCATTTTGAGTTTTCATGAGCTGTATGCCATAATCATCAGTATTAAAACAATTAAAGACCTGAAATATTTCAGTTGGTGTACAATGAATCTGAAATTTATGAGTTTCATTTTTATCATTACATTATGGAAAATAATGACCTTTATCACAATATGCTAATTTCTTGAGAAGGACCTGTACATGTGTGTTTATGTGGTGTGTAAGTGTTTATGTTTTCTCCACACACGGTTTTCATTATCTCGGACTCCGAGGCCTTGAAGCAGGACATGCCAAGACATGCTCATTTTTAGGAGTAGGCTGAACTCCGCACATCGGCTTCCTTGACAGGAGCTATAAAAAGCTCAGTCTTCCAACAATGGATCGAGCTAACGATCTATTTTTAGGCTGATGGTCCTCCTTTTACATGTGAACAGCTAGTTTGAATGTCAACAACAAGCTGGTTGACCCACTATGAGAAGGTGCTACTAGAGGACTGAGCTTTTTATAGCTCCTCAGACCGACAAAATATTTTTGATTAAAGATGAAACATTTCAACAACTTTTTTTTTTTTTATCCATCCAGAGGACTCGACTGAACTTTTTTTTTTTTTTTACATTTTCCTACCTGAATTATTGGGCATGCATCAGAATACTCTTAATAAATCTTAATCCTAATTTATACAAATTATATAAACATAAAAAAGAATTGCATAAAGTGTTCACACACTACACCTTCAAATAAAAAAGCAATGAAGGGCTGAGCCCTTTAAAGCAGGGGTCTCAAATTGATCTGTGAAAGGGCAGAGTGGCTGCAGGTTTTTGTCCCAACCATGTGGTAGTAAATCTGATTAGGAACATTCAATCAACTAAACCAGGGGTCTGCAACCTTTACGATCAAAATAGACATTTTTACACCTTTGTTTACTACAATAAACATGTCCAGAACTGCAACAACCTGCTACAACTGTGGTTATCAACTGGTGGCCCGTGAGCCACTTTAGGTTTTCTGGAGGGGGGTTTTATGGCCAGTAAGGGTGACATTATAAAGCAAACAAATATCTAATGCTTTTTAACATTTAAAGTAAAAAAGACCAGATTATTTTAAAGAAGGAGGGAAAAAAAACAGTTTTTACCATCTTTTTTTAATTAAAAAAAAAAATCTATAAATTATGCACAGTTCTTCATATAAAGAAATAAAGCATCAAGTTAAAGTATGTTTCTCCTTGTACTCGCACCAATGTTCTCATATTTGCAAAATAAATGACAGGAAAACTGTTTGAACTCATCCTTTTTTGTTGTTTGTATAACTAATAAAATTCAGTTTTATGCTAGTTTCGGTCAAAGCTTGAAAGAGCCGCTGCAGAGGAACCAAAGAGCCGCATGTGGCTCCAGAGCCACAGGTTGCAGACCCCTGAACTAAACTGTCTTCATACAGCCATTTCAGATGTCCACTGTAAAGACGCTCTTATCTGCTGTGCTGTATTGCTCGATGTATCACAACTGTATCTTGTCCTTTATCTGTATCTGCTTGGCTTCTGGATCTGCTTGCCTTTTGGTATCAACAAGTACAGAATGAACTAAGTCAGAGAATGTATTTGAGTTTTTGTGTACGGGACATGAACTAAAACAAGAAGCTGCTGGTGGGTGTCCCACCTGATGACAAGATCACCGGTAAACTGGAACAGCAGAAGAAAATAAAACAACTCCATAAAAGGACTTCCAGGAAATGAAGACATCAGTTTGAACTAGTTTAGACAAAGAACTGTAAGAATGTTGTGACATGTCTCTGGGTGGAGCTTTAGTGTTTAAATACATAAGAACCTGAAAGCTCCGGTCAGACGTGTCTTGGATTTTGCTGCATCTTTGTTGGTTTGGGGTAAGCTGAAAGCTTTAATAAATGTTGGTAATACTTTTTAACTTTAATCTCTCTGATTATTGTGTCTTTTCTCCATGTATCTCCTCTGAAAAGTCTTAATTGTTGTGTTGATTTTCCTCGACACTACTTAATTGGAGCAAAAATCTGCAGCCACAGCAGCCCTTTCATGGATCAGTTTGAGACCACTGCTTTAAAGTAATTATCACGGTGTTAATCTTGTCATTCTATAATATATCTTATGAATAAGCATGGGGCTAACAAGCTCCTAGCCACACAAGCAACAAACACTGCTGCTCATGTTATTTAGCATCCAAGCAAACGCATGACCAAGACGACACTGTGTTAACAAGCATGTTGCCAATTCATGCTAAATTATAATAATTTAATTGTGTTTACTTGTTAGCGGTACAGTTGAACAAGAAGCTAGTTAAGGTTACATAAAATTTCACTAACCTAAATTAATTTCACAAGCAAAAGTCAGGTAGCATTTAGCAACTTCACTTCTACGTGTTTTTTCAGCTTTGATGGCGAATTTTTGAAAGACAGGAGTTCATGGTTTCGGGGGAGGCAAAGTTGACACCGGAAACTCAGCGAGTTGTTTTTTGAACCGGTTAACTCAAAGAAAGTTTTTAAATGAGGCCATGGGTGGCACTTATCTTCCTGCTGACTCTCTGAGGTGGAATCCATTTTGAGTGTGTTAGAGCGAGTGTTTTTTTTTTTTTTTTTTTGCATTAGACCCAGGTGCTGCCGGAGCACACAGGTCGCATACGTCACTGACCCAGCTCTTTCTGAAGGTGGGTCTAATGTTACCTGCCTACTTTGGTTGGTTCAGTGGACCAATTCCCCTCTCACCATTGGTTACTTTCAAACTAATGAACAAATCAAAGAAACGCAATGAGACGTGAATGTAACTTGTAATGAAACGCATTATAGAAATGTAGTGTAGTAGAAAGTACAGACACTTAATGGAAAATGTAGTGAAGTAAAAGTCGAAAGTACCCATGTTTAACTCTACTTAAGTAAAGTACAGATACATGAAAAATGTACTTAAGTACAGTAAC